TATCTCTTCTTTTATAGCTGATAATTCTGCTCCGGGAGACTTTAAAAGACTCCCCATGGGTGTATTAATAGCTTCTGTTGAATTATTGAGGGGTGAGAGTTGCTAATAATCTCACAGGACCTGTCTGACAATGACACAGAAGACAGAGGAAAAACAATCACACGGCATCTCTTAAAGTGAGCTGATTGGGGGATGGGAGTCAGCGCTGAGTTGCCCACCAATCGTTCATCTCCGTTAACAAAGCCAGTTTTGCATCTCAGATCAATCCTTCGGCGGTGTCCTCTCCCCAAGCCAAACAGAGGTAACAGCGATTTGTATTTCAGCTACACGCATCCTTGCTGTGTGAGAGTGATGTCGTCGCGTCAGACACGTGTGCTGAAGGACAAGGACAGACAAGGGCGAGGAACACAAACCGCCTGTTTGCATCTAAAGGCGTTAAAACGACGGCAAGTAGCACACTTGCAGATACAGGCCATTAGGGCAGTTCTTGCATTTTTGCAGAGCTCATGTTGATCCCACGAGGTGTTTCTACTGCTCTGGGTTTACACTCTGACCCTCTAAAGGGTGTGTTCGGTCCTAAAAATATAGTATTGCATTTATTCTGCTTTAACAGCTCTTAACTGCTCTTATAGCTGCTAATTCTGCTGGATTATACTTTTTTGTATGTTGTAGAGGTTTTTTTTTATTTTGTGCAGCAAGCATGAACTCCGTATCTTTATGTAAAAGTTGAATCTTTTTACATGCTTGCTTAGCCAGATTATGTATATTTCTTTACTCTTTATTTGGCTAATCAAGTGTGCAGGTTAGCTTTTCAGGTAAAGGTTTAACAGAAGTGTCCCACTGAGGATTGACAGCTCAGCTGCTTTTGTCACCTTACTGTCTCCGATCGGGGCCACCGTCCCAGGAGCCATAAGGAGGTGGCGTCACACCACCACCGGGAAGCTGGGTGTTTTTGGGGGTGGTCGTTCTTTTAATAATGCATTCTGCTACTCGCCGCCGCAGAGAACAGAAGCCGCTAACCCTTTCGATTGAGTTTTATAATCGCATTAAAGGAAACTTTGAATATAAAATGGGGATAAGAAAGTGCGACTCCATCCATTGCGAGGGTCTTTTTTTAGCACAGTTAGTGAGTGGTGTGGGATTATAATAGAGGTGGGGGTGTTATACTCCTTGATGAATACCACCTCCGTCATCTCATAGCATTCACCTTCTGTTCTGTTACATCCTGCTAGAATAATATCACATGTAGGCAGCAGATTCATTAGCGCCTGAAACATCTCCTGAATTTTTAAGATATATTTTATTGAATAAAAAAATGGACTCTGGGTGGTATCAACATGGTAATTGAACATTTCTTTTATTAATTTTTTTTAACTTATTTTGCACTCTTCATCAGTGCATTGTTATTTGATCAGGGATTGCTGCTTTAAACGAAATCATTTACATTAAAAGATGATAGTGTAGGACAACATGAAACATGAAAGCAATGAAAGATTCCTTGGCGTTCCCTAAGACCTCACGTAGTCTGCTGGTTAATACACTGAGATCTTTTCCAAACCTCCCAAGTGAGTCCCTCAACTGCCAAAACCTATTGGTGATAATGATGTTACGGCTGTCATATGGTGCATTTCGTGCCACCAGTTTCAGTTTAGTTAAATTGCGTGGCCGTTTGCTAGCTGACTGTGTATTGTGGGATTTTTGTCACACTGCAGCCCATATTAAGAGATGGGCAGTTTGTGGGACTTGCTGCTTTCTTAATGCAGCTAGGTGACTTTGTGCTATTTATTTCGCCATGTTGGCTTTACGTGAACCTGACCAGTGCTTATGAGCAGTAGTCCTGTGTATGCAGTGTTGCGTTTATCAGGAGTGTTTCCCAGAATTATCATGCATGGGTGAGCACCTCCAGGAGGAGATCATGGCGCTGGAAATGACAACGGCCTAAGTGCAACATAAATTTGGGCAGCTTTTTTTGTTCTTTTATATCAGACAGAAGCTTCTTGGGACCGCCTTTGATATGGCCCCTGGGGGTCCGTGTGTCTCTTTCTGTTTGCCTTTCTTCCATCTTTCTTGGTTTTTCTTCTTTTCTCCTCTATCGGCGGGTCCGTGTCCCTCGAGGGCGTCTGGCGTATCCGAGATAAGAGCCCAGTGTGGGACACTGGGGATGCTGTTCACAGACGCCGATCTTATCTAATCTCTCCCCACCTATTTCGCTTGCTCTCTCTCCATCTCTCCCTCCCTTCTTGTCTGACACCTTTCACTCCTTCTTGCTTTCTCCCTTACTCTTACCTTCCACTAGACTTTGTTGCCCTATAGAGAAGGGGGAATTGGGGGCGAGGAGGGGGGCACGCATTCCATTTAAATTAAATCACAGGCTCAGGGAAGTCAAATTGGTTTAAGAAGCTAAAACAAACACTCTGTTTATTATCTTTTATGCTTCTTTTACCCACCGGAGACAAGAACAAGGAAAATAACTTCATGCTCTGTCCAGAAGCCTTTTGCTGAAGCACAGTCTAATTCAAAATAAAAACTTTCCATCTATATTTTTAGCCTCCCACATGTCCTCTGTGTTTTCAAAATGACTTGTAAAAAAAAAGATTAAATGTTTCTGTATTCTGTTTTCTCAGGGGCAGATATCATGCAGTATTTTAGTTTACAAAATTACTAATTGGTTATGTTCATTTAATTAAGAAACACCTGTAAGTGGCTGTATGGATGTGGATGTATGTATTCAAGGCTTGCTGGAGTAATTAGAGAGCAGAATTACCCTGGTGTGACTGAGGTTAAATACTGTCATCACTGAGAGCTGAGGGCTAAAGACAGAATAATCCGAGCAAAAAAGTGCCAAGTCATGCTGTTGGCTAGTTGGAACACCTTCACCATGTCAATGGATTCAGCTGAGTTTCTGAATCTACCCCCCCACCCCCGGTAAATCCACATGAGGAGGAAGCAGCCCCATGTCTCTTCCTACCCCAGGTAAATCCCTGACACATGAGGGACAACTTCTACACGTCTCCTGAACCCCAGCCGCCCTACATCGATCTCCAAGTTCCTCAGTATTCAGCTTCAATATATACAAGCTGTTAAATCATCGTTCTAAAGCGCCCTCTTCAATGAGCTCCGCTTAATCAGCTCCAAGCACAAACTGTGATGTGTGCATACAAAAAAACAACAACAACAATAACAACAAGTAAAGTGATCCACATATCCTGTCCCTACAGGAAGGCGGATGGCAATATAAGCTAGTGAATTACAGTCTTCTGTAGCAAAGGTTACTTCATTATCACATTACTGCATTGCCAAAAGTGGTCTTCATTGTTTGTGAAAAATGTTTCCAGATATAGATTACTTAAGCAGATACATGAACAGATGCTTTTATCTGAAGCAACTGACATAGCTTGCAAATTAAAAATCCAAGTGGCTGCGAGAACTGCAGAAACATTTTCAAAACATCCCTCGTGGGAACAAGAGAAATAGCTATTAGGCTGCTAGGACTACAGCCAAAGGGCAAAGTGGTTTTCTTTCAAGCTACGAAGAAGACCCATCGTCTTCCTGTAACGGGAGTCTCTGGCCTCCATGTGGAACTGTAGTTGTAGCGCTAATTAAAAAGAAGACACAACAGAGATGGACCCTGTTGCTGGTGTTGTAGTGCTGTCAGAAATGGATTCAGATATTGGAATGTGATCAGTCATGTGACCTCAGAGCCAGTAACTCACATGTTGACACAAGCACAGTTCACACACGCTGATTTACTGAGATCGCTACTGCTTTCAGTTCCCCCTCATACTGTACTGTCATGTTTGTTTTTTGTGTGTTTTCTCTATTTATGCTGGGCCACTCACCCCTAGTTTCAATTATGTACATTATTTGTCAGCTTTTGAAAACAGATTTGTGCCCAAATGGACTCATGTCCATCCAGTTTCTTCCTTGTCCAGCATCACCATGAGCCTAGAGCCTATTCTAGAAAACACAGGACACAAGGCAGAGGCACCCTGGGCAGGATGCTAGGCACACTCACTCACACACACACACACTCACTCACACTCACTCACACACACACTCACTCACACACACTCACACACACACACGCACACTCACTCACACGCACACACACTCACTCACACACTCACTCACACACTCACACTCACTCACACACACTCACTCACACACACACTCACTCACACACACTCACACACGCACACTCACACGCACACACACTCACACACACTCACACGCACACTCACTCACATGCACACACACTCACACGCACACACTCACTCACACTCACTCACACACTCACACACACTCACACACTCACACACACTCACTCACACACACTCACTCACACACACTCACACACACACAGTCCACATATTAATAGCGTTATGGGGACTCTCCATTCATTTCTGTGGGCATAGTCCTAATCCTAGTTATGACAACCCCTACCCAGCCTTAACCTTATTCATAAGTTACCAAACAAAATACAAGACTTTTGGCATTTTGAGTTTCTTGATTGCATTCACAGATTTTTATCAGTTTGAGGTTATTCTTATGGAGACTAAAAAATGCACCCACAGGGTAAAAGGGTACAAATTGTTATCACAGTGTGGGGAAATCTGGTCCCCCCCAAAATATACACACATACACCCAGCTACAGACTCTGGGCAGTGATTTGGAGAGGCCAGTTCCCATATCGCCAGAATTCAGAAGAAACTGACAGAAAGAGAAGAAGAAAAGAGCATGCAAACGTCATAGACACAGAAGCGAAGTCCATATGAAACCCACAGACCCGGAGGTGTGAGGCTGCTCTCCTGCCCTCTGAGTCACCACACCAGCCACAGCTGGACAGCTGGGTGCTTTAGCTCCCTGTTTAAAATGAGGGCATCGCATGTTTATGCCAGTAGGCTCATTTTAGTGATTGGTCGACTTTGCTTACAGCTGCGGTACTTCAGAGCCTTATTTCAAGCAGTGTGTCATGGTTTCTCTATTTCTGCTTCTGCCAGGCTGTGCCTTTCTCACCTACTGTGCCAGGGAGTCAGCGCTCAAGGCTCAGACTGCACTGCACGAGCAGAAGACCTTGCCGGGGGTAAGTCGCTGGAAACACATGCGCTACCACACACACTCTCTCACACACACGTACACACACACACACTGTCTCACACACACATACACACACACACTCACACTCTCTCACACACACATACACAATCACACTCTCTCTCACACACACGCACACACTCACACTCTCTCACACACACATACACAATCACACTCTCTCTCACACACACGCAC